ACACAAAACCCTAAATCTCCACGTGACTCATCGCCACCTCCAATCGGGCGCCTGCCATCACGTCGAGCCTGTCCTCCATGACCCGCTGCATCGCGATCCCCCGCCATGCGCCGCCGCGGTTGATCAATCTCCTCATCCTACCAGTCACGCCGAGGGAAATCCTCATCACCGAAGCCGGGTCGCGGGTCCGCATATGCATCACGCCAGTCGCCGCCACGTGGAAACCCTAGCGGGTGCCGCCTGGGATCGCTGCCTCCCACCTGATCCTTGTCGCTGTCAAAGAACCCGCTGTCACGCTGAAACCCTAGGTGCCGTCGCCGGGGAATTCATCCTCCGTCCAGTCCGCGCGGGTTGCGAGGATCCTGCTCACCCCTATCATCGTAACGATCCCCGTCTGGCCGACGACGGAAATCCTGGGTGAACGGATTCTCCACGCTCAAAGTATCTTCATCATCCTCCTCGCCGGTCGGAGTCACAGGTGAACGGTGGCGGGGCGCCCCGCCATGGCCTCGTCCACCTCGGCCTCCTCGAACCCCACCGCGGCCACCCCGGTCACCGGTGTCGCGGATCGTACGAAATTCATCCATCAAGGTATGCATAGCCGGCGTATTTCCTCAATCCCCGAAGACATCTCGGTAATGCGATCATCAACTCCTTGAAAGCGATCCTCCATCCTCTAGAGACGTTCATCCACAGAAGTATCGTTACCTTTCTTCGGCGGCATCGTGGATCGTCTGCTGGTCTCTGGATACCAACTGATGTAGAACGTGATACGAAAAGGGCCCTCTCGAGATACTCTCTCAAGAAGAATAGTAAAATTGAGATACTCTCTCAAAGAAAAGGAACAGATAAATTTTATTCTCAAACGTCAATGATGTTTCCCCTTGTTTGTTCACATATAAATAAGCAAAGGAATACTTATCTTGCCTAACAAGTTGCAAGATATTTTATTTCCTACTACATAATTAATAAATAAGGAAATGCATAAATCAAATAGAACACTAAAAGGAATAATTC